ATAGATATATATATTTTTTCCTTTCCGAACGGATGCTCAGAGAATGTTAAAGTACCCAGGGTCACATAGACAAGCTTTGAATTCATCTTTTAAAAGAGGATGTGCAGTGAAGCTTGGTGAGAGGTAGGGGAGCCAGATTTTGAGAGGGACTGCTCAGTGAGAGTGGGGAGTCCCACTGAAGTGCAGGAGGAGTTCGTGCTTCTCCTTCAGGAAGAGTTTCAGGAAAACCAAGGAAATAAAGATGAACCAGAGTGCTGAACTAGTGGCCGGGAGCTAGCACATTTTACTTGTCTCAAGCATGTCAAGTTCAATTACAAGTATCACGCAGACCTCTTTTATCAAGTTTGGTAGGTCACTTATTGGGAGGTGATTTTTCCTCTACTAATTGCACATTAGCAAATCCATGCCACTGCAATTTCACTGTTTATGTTACTACTGTGAATGATGTTAGAAACAGTACAAATATCTGATGGTATTCTGTCCCAAAAAAGTTCAAGTTTTTAAAAAGTAAACACTGATTATCCAGGAACTGACTGCTTTTGACGAACTGTCAAAAGAGCCTTTACCATGGCTAGTTCTTTTACATTTCACTTTCCTTTAGCTGGGTTTATAGTTTTAAGAGGAGATTGAGAATGAAAATGAATTTTCATTCAACAAGATTGAGGTACATTATTTACTATGATCTTTGCAGGAGTGCATTGTTGAGCATAGAATTGTCACTTACGTTACAGAGCAGGATATAACATAACTGAACCTTTGGTTTGGATGCATGAGGTTGCATAATTAAGCAAAATTACCTATCATTTTAAGTTAGTTGATGTATTAAAGGAGATAGAATGAAACATCCCTGAACTGGCACTCACCAACCTGGCCCTGTTGGTAACTGGACATGTTATAAGGGTCTAGGCTCATCACTTATATAAGAAGGAGACAAACTGTGAGTGCCTACCAAATACCAGGGTGTTCATACGTATATTATTTTATTTAAAGTGGAATAAAAATCTTTGTCTACCTTACAGAATTGTTAGGATGATAAAATGAGATAAAGAATGTGTATATTTTAGTAATCTGTAAAGTACTATTCAGAGATACAAAGTATTCCTTTGCATTTAGTTAGGTATAAATAAATTAGAATATGGAACTAAGAATGTTATATATTTTTGCACTAATATTGTTTCCTAAATTGAATTTCCAAAATCAGTTTTACTTGTTAATTCCTTTAAAATTGGAAGTTAGTTTCACTCTCCAGATAATGAAGAGAGTGATGAAATGGAAAAGAACTGGCTGTCATCAAGACTCTTGACAGCCCTTCAATAGCATTTGGCTCCTGGATATACATATATCTATTCCTTAGTAATTTTTATAATGGCTCCATGAGGTAGATAGTACGCCATTTTCATTTATGGAAACTGAGGCTTGGTGTGACCATGCTTACACTATTATTAAATAGTAGAACCAGCATACTAACTTGGATTTTTTTCTCTTAATGGTGTGCTTTACTGTCACAAATATGACTTCTGTTCTTACTGTCAGTCTGTAAAAGCTGCTCTTGCCTTTTCATGGGTGGCTCTTGTTCTTTTCCATCTTTATTTGCCACTTATCCTATTTCTTTAGCAAATATTTGAGCACCTACTATGTGCCAGTCATTCTTTCACTTGTTAGGGATACAGCAGCTAATGAAACAGGCAAAAATCCCTGCCCTTATGCTTACATGATACTTAAAAACAAATGATTAAAATGTAAAACGTGTCGAATGGTGATAGGTGGTATAGAGAAAAGTAGAAAGAGGGATGGCAGTGCGGGGTATTTGGGGGAGGAAGTTTGTACTTTATTGTCCATGAGAATTGGAATTAGAGTAGGGGACTTCATGTGGTAATTGGTGTAAGTAGGGATTAAAGACAACAAAATTAGTTCTTATGGTCTCAAGACAGAGGTTGTAAATACTGTAGAATTTTGCCAGGAGTATACCAAGTTCTGGGACACGTCTTTATTGTGGAGGCCAGGGAAGGGGTGGTCTTATTCAGAGACCTTGGAGGCCATGGGCTCCCTTTTCACTTCTGCCCATGGAGGCCAGAGAAGAGGAGTGTTAGTATATAACCTTTCCTGTACTGCGTAGTGTTTTGATAAATCCCATTCCCACTGAGTGATTCAGTTACTTTCAGGTGCCAAAACAAATAGTAAAGTATCTTATAAAGTGTACTTTCCTGTCACCTCCTCAAAGAAAATAGGTTGAGCTTTGAGCCTGCCAAATCTTCTCAGTTTCATAGTATAAATACCAAAGTATACTATTTTTGAGTCTAGAATACTGTAGAAAGTTCTCAGTGTCTCTGAGATCATAGCTTTAGGGAACTTTCCCAGGCCCTCTGCTATCTTACTATTAGTAACATTTTAAAAGATAGAAAAAAGACTAATTAAACATGAAAATCTTACCCAAAGTACAAGTTCTAAAAAAGATAGAGACTCCTTTATCTGATACTGACTATTTTGGAACAAAGCCCAAACATTTGTAGCATTGGAAAAGCATCATAATCTAATGGAAAGAGCTTAGCTTCTGGAATCATAGATATGTTGGTTCAATTTTTAGCTTTGCTTCTAACCAGTTAAATTACAACCGTTACCTTGAACAAGTTACACTGTCTCTCTAAGCCTCAATTTCCTAATCTGTGAAATAGATATATGAATATTAAGTTTGCTGTTCAGGGACTCAACATCAAATTGTAACACAACATAATAGGTACTGTAAAAAATGTAAATTGCTATGGGAACCGAAACAAGGCAGGCAGTGCATTTGACTCTGGGGAGAGAATGGGCAGGCCACTTGGAAAAGGAGGGTTATTAGATCATGAACGATTATTTCTAGTTGTCAGAGTACAGAAGCAAGGGAACCACTTTAGGAGGAGGATCCTAGGAGGGCAGATACCTCAAGGTATTAACATATATATCCTTGGCAAAGATATTACCTCCTCTAGTATATTTTTTAACTCTTCCAACATGTTTCCATAGTTTTCTTTACCCTAAATCAGTACCTATTAACCTGTTCAATTTGCCTCTGTTCTCTACTAAATTATAAACTCCTTTTGGGCAAGAATCTATTTTTTCTTGTTTAGCATATTCTATTCTTTATAAACTAGACATTTGGTAAGTATTCATTGCATAGATGAAGCAGGACTACATTTTAAAAAAAGTTTTCAAAAGTACATTTGAAGCATCTCTAAATGCTACGCTACGCATTTAGATTTAGTCCTATGAAACGTAAAGCCTTTAAGCAAGGAAGTTAGTTTAAATAGAAAGCGGGGAGTCCAGGGTTTGAGCTTTAGTTATGCCTGATTAAATGACCCTACACCTCTTGGGGTTGCCATTTCCTTATCTGTTCAACAGTATTGATAATTTCTAGGTTTTCTTCCAACTGTGGTATTCAGGGATTGTGTAATTCTTTTTTTTTTTTTTTTTTTACACGGTATGCGGGCCTCTCACTGTTGTGGCCTCTCCCGTTGCGGAGCACAGGCTCCGGACGCGCAGGCTCAGCGGCCATGGCTTACGGGCCCAGCCGCTCCACAGCATGTGGGATCTTCCTGGACCAGGGCACGAACCCGTGTCCCCTGTGTCGGCAGGCGGACTCTCAACCACTGCCCCACCAGGGAAGCCCGGGATTGTGTAATTCTTGCTACCATGTGTTTATGTAGATATTAGCCTTTGAGGAAAAAATAGTGCTTGGCATATGGTGTATGCTCAATAAACGTATGTTCAATTAAAAATCCAAAGCATAGATCAGGACTTCTTAATTGGAGAGACTAAACAGATTCTCAGAACCTTTACCTCTTTGAGGTACAAGATGAGTATACAGTGAGAACAACTTTTTTTTTTAGAGCAACTTTTGTTTATTGGTTAAAGCTCTCTGAGTATAATGTTGTATCGTCTGTTCTGTTGTTGTTTTGGCAACCAAATGGGAACATTGCCACAAAATATGCAGAACCAGGTTTTTCTTTTTTTTTTTAGGCATTTGTAAAAAATTTTATTTATTTATTTATTTGGCTGCCTTGGGTCTTCCTTGTGGTGGGTTCTTCGTTGTGGCATGCAGGATCTTTCGTTGCAGCACGTGGGCTCTAGAGTGCATGGGCTCAGTAGTTGCAGCACGCTGGCTTATTTGCCCTGAGGCGTGTGGGATCTTAGTTCCCTGACCAGGGCTCAAACCCTCGGCCCCTGCGTTGGAAGGTGGATTCTTGACCACCAGACCACCAGGGAAGTCCCCAGAACCACATTTTTAAATGGTAGATGAGTTTGAGTTTTATTCCATGAGTCAATAAATAATGGAATAGCTTTTCATAATTGACACATTTTTAACTTCTTGCTGGAAATTTTTGGCATGAAACTCTTTTATTGGCAATGTTCATATTGAGCTGAGTTCTAAGAAACTGTGGGATAGGAATATTGAGTTTTTAATAGACTTCTGATTTCTTGCTATGTAAGGTATTTCCCTGCTCTAGAATTTATGCTTGCCTTGCCTTGAATTTATTTTTGGGGGGGGGTTAATATGAAATTTTGTTTCTTAAAACATGTTGTTAGTATAAGTATCAGCAATGTTAGGAAAACCTTAGTTATTGTCCTAAGCGCTTTCAATTTCATTTGTTTATATAGCTTTACAAATTAAAGGATAGAAAACAAGTTCAGTACTTCATAATTTTTCTCTAAAAAGAATAGAATTACAACATATGCCAAAGAAATCAGTGTAGGTAGGCAGAGTTATTCTCAAGGGAATATGTTTTATTTATTTATTTATTTATATATTTGAAATCTGAAGTACCTTGGCCCTCAATTTCATCAAATTCCCTTATATCTGGAATAAAAAGCCTAAACTGTAAGTAGTGAAAGTCTTTGGGAAAGATTTTGGAAGTTTTTTTTTCCCCCCTAAGTTTTTCCATATGTATTTTGTAAAAATTAGAACATAATTGAATATCTGGCAGACATTCTATATGAGTATCTTTATGGTTTTTGTTTTTCAGGCATTTTTAAAATATTTAATCATTCATGAGTTGAGCTTCATTCTTGAGTCATGGATGACAAGGCTTCTGTTGGAAAAATCAGTGTCTCCTCAGACTCTGTGTCTACTCTTAATAGTGAAGATTTTGTCTTGGTTTCCAGGCAAGGAGATGAGACACCATCTACAAATAATGGAAGTGATGACGAGAAAACAGGACTCAAGGTAAAACTACATAACCTACATTTCTTTTGCTTAGCCTTGCTAAAGCAAAACTTGGCCTTAATAGGAAGGTATATGGAGTGAAAGTGAGGACATGGAAATAATATCCTTTCTTTTTTTAATGCTAAAGCTTTTTATTTATAATTAGTGATAGTGAAAAATTTATATCTGATTAAGGATTTTCAATTTGATTAGCTTCTAAATCTTCTGATATCCCTAACTGTAAAAACTAGTGATCATAGTATAAACATTTGTTATTTTAGTATTGTTTCATGTTCCCATTGAGTTAGAGGTGATTGTTTCTTTTGGTCCTGGTGTATGTAGTGTAAAGGCAGTGGCAGGTCTGCAGTGCTATTTATAAAAATAAGTTTTAGAATTAGTAAAACAGAACTTAAAATTCCTGGCTTTTGGCCATTTCTGTTTATATTTTCTCTGCCAAATAAATCACTATTAACTTCTTTTCCCATACTCTGTTACTGTTTTGCTCTTTATGGATATAAGTAAGAACAGGTTACCTGTTAATGTCACTTAAAATGTAAGTAGCTTTAAAAATATTTTGATTCTTGTTTATGTCTATTTATTCAACAAGTGTTTATTGAGTATTGACTTTGTGCCAAGTACTGTTATAAATACTTGGGATACAGTAGCAAATAAGGCAAGCAAAGCCCCCTGCCCTCCTAGAGCTTTTAATCAAATGGGGAAACAGACTCTAAGCAAATAGGAAAATGAATATGTTAAGTAAATTTAGGTGTTTTGAAGAAAATCAAAGCAGAATACATGAATAAAGAGTGAATGGGAGGTACTGTTTTAGAGAATGTCTCGAAATGACATTTGAGCAGAGATCTGAGTGAAATGAGGAAGAACTTGTTCATGGAGAAATGTGAAAAAGCACTTTCCACGGGGAACAGAAAATAAAAAGACCCTGAGGAAGACCACCCTTTTTAGGACAGAGATTAGAGCAGAGTAAATAAAGTAAATAAAAAGTGCTAAAGAATGAGATCACTGGCTGAGAGAGACAGCATGGATGGTGTGAGCTTTGTGGACCCATTCCCCAGAAAAATTGGTGACAATTACTATTTTTTTAAATTAAAGTCTATGGAAATGTTCTAAAGGACATAGAGCAATTGAAGAAACATTTATTCAGAGAAATTTACTAAAATTTGGTTAAGAATCTGTGGTATTTGAGCCAAGACTTGTTTTTTCCTTCCCATCTCCCAGCTGAGCAAGATGGTAACTCCACTCCAGATTGGTACAGTCAAGAAAATAGGGTTTCCTCTCCTCACAGCTCCCACTTGGAGGGCTGTTTTCCAGTGAAGAGCAGGATGAGAGCATTCCTCATCCTGCCTCTGTCACCTTTTGCTGGCCAAGTGTGAATGAGTGGTAGGCGCTGCCTTTTTTTTGCCCAGACCTTACTTCTGGGATGAAGGCTCTACGTAGGGCACAGTGTTGCTGAGAATACTGAGAGCCCAATTGCCCTTACCCTTACCCTGGCTCTGGCATGTAAGGTAGTGGTTCCACACTAATAGAGGGAAGTCAAAAATACCAGAGATTACTACGCAACCTCCCACACCTACCAAATACTCATTTTCTGAAGATGTGTCGCTCAGAGAGAAGTACGTCATTGTCTACACTCCCAACTTCATAACTATAGCTCAGAGATTTTGCCTGCAGTGAGAAGTGGGACATAAAACAGCTCCTTATCTCTTCCCATAGGAACCGACTTTATTTACAACAGAGGGCTTCCCTGGTGGCTCAGTGGTTAAGAACCCGCCTGCCAATGCAGGGGACATGGGTTCTAGCCCTGGTCTGGGAAGATCCCACATGCTGCAGAACAACTAAGCCTGTGCGCCACAACTACTGAGCCTGTGCTCTAGAGTCCACGAGCCACAACTACTGAGCCCACATGCCACAACTACTGAAGCCCACACACCTGGAGCCTGTGCTCCACAACAAGAGAAGCCATCGCAATGAGAAGCCCGCGCACTGCAACGAAGAGTGGCCCCCGCTCGCTGCAACTAGAGAAAACCCGCGCATAGCAACAACAAAAAACCCCAATGCAGCCAAAATAAATAAATAAATAAATAAATAATTTTAAAAAATCATACTTACAACAGAGTGTAGAGGAGTTCAAGCCTAAGGGTACCCTCAAAAACAGTGGAGGTTGTGGTGAAAGGTAATTGGGAAGAGATTGTTAGATTGGTTGGACATACGGTTTAACTGTAGGCTTGCAGGGAGAAGACTGCCTGTGGTAGAGACAGAGCTCAAACATTGACCTCTGGAGCTCTCCTGTCAAAGTATCCTAATTTTTTTTTTTTTTTTTTTGCGGTACACGGGCCTCTCACTGTTGTGGCCTCTCCCGTTGCGGAGCACAGGCTCTGGACGCACAGGCTCAGCGGCCATGGCTCACGGGCCTAGCCGCTCCGCGGCATGTGGGTTCTTCCCGGATCGGGGCACCAACCTGTGTCCCCTGCATCGGCAGGCGGACTCTCCACCACTGCGCCACCAGGGAAGCCCAAAGTATCCTAATTTTATTGGTTTTTTCTGTGGAGCAGTTTATTACCTTAGTGGATTGTTGAAAACTGTTGAGCAAATCAGCCACAATTAGTGGAGTTTAATATCCACATGTAGTCATAGAGACAGAGCATCCTGCGAAAACTACTATCCCAGGATGACTGAAGGCAAATCCAAATTACCCCAGAGGAGCAACATCAAAGGTTTAACACCATGGGAATTAGGGGAATAGAATTTACTAAAATAAGTCAGCTAGTCACTAAACAAACAAGCAAGCATAAAAAATAAGTCCTAGGGTGTGGAGACCAGTACCGAGAACTGGAACAACGTATTACCTAAAATATCTAGTTTCCAACACAAAATGTGAGACATGCAAAGAAACAAGAAAATATTACCTATACATCATTTTTAAAAAGGCAGCACATACTGCTTGTGAGAGTCAAATATTGGACTTAATATGCAAACTTTGAAAGTAGCCATTATTAATATGTTCAATGAACTAAAAGAAATCATGCTTAAAGAAATAAAGGAAAGTATGATGACTGTAAAATCAAATAGAAAATATCATTAAGGAGATAGAAATTACAAAAGAACCAAGTGGAAATTCCGAAGTGGAAGAGCACAACTGAAATGAGGAATTCACTGGAGAGGCTCAACAGTAAATTTCAATGGGCAAAAGAAAGAATTAATGGAAAGAAATGTCATCAAAATGGCAGTACAGGAGTTTTCTACCATCCCACTCTCAAAGAACACCAATTTAGACACTAATGGATGAGAGTGCCTTCATGGAAGTCCAGGAGCCCAACAGAGAAGTTCCAGCACATTATTGGGGCAAAAACATCCAAGATTGGACCCATTGAAGACGATGAAAGGAACAGTTTCATTTTATGTGTGTCACCCCACCCCCAAGGTGGCACAGCTCAGTGCCAGCAGGTATTTAGCTCATGATTTCTTCCATGGGGGAAAGTGAGAGTGTGTGATTGAGCACCTGACTTTCCCAGCTTTGTGGTACACTGCCAGAAAGGCCCATTTCTTTCTCACTCCGTCCAGAATACTGAGTCGTAAACTGGATAACCTGGGGGTCGACAGTTGTGCTGGAAGAAGAGCAGCCAAGATTGGGAATGGAACATCTAAAGGGGCGTGGATCCTATTAACTGCTCTGGGGACTCCCTCAGGAAGCCCACCCATGAGCCACTGGGGACACCTCCCCTGCCAATCCCCCAGCTGGCCCATGGCCACCTCTGAGCTCCACACTCCTCACCCAAACGTGTCCCTACCCTGTGGCTGCCTCCCTGTGCACATCCCTGAGGGCAAGAATGGTATGTGTGAGTCTTTGCAAATGGCTAGTGAGCACATGCAAAAAGTCAACCTGATTCTGTGGGATTGGAAGAAACCACACACTTGAGCACTCATCATCATCTCAGGGAAAACAAATGCGATAGAGAGCATCAAAACACTGGATCAAGCAGAAGAAAGTATTGTGAAGTACAAGACACATTATTTGAAATTATCTAGTCTGAGAACAGAGGGAAAATGAAAAGGAGTGAAGAAAGCTGGCCCATGGCCAGCAGGCCCAGTTTATAGTGTGAACTGTGGCATACCACTAAAATGATCAGTCTATGCAATATTGGAGTCCCAGAAGGACAGGAGAGGGAGAAAGGGGCAGAACGCTTATTTAGAAACATAATGATTGAAAACTTCCCCAATTTAAAAAAAATTATTTATTTTGGCTGTGTTGGGTCTTCGTTGCTGCGCGCGGGCTTTCTCTAGTTGCAGCAAGCGGGGGCTACTCTTCATTGCGGTGCGCGGGCTTCTCATTGCAGTGGCTTCTCTTGCTGCAGAGCACGGGCTCTAGGTGCGTGGGCTTCAGTAGTTGCAGTATGTGGGCTCAGTAGTTGTGGCTCGCAGGCTCTAGAGCACAGGCTCAGTAGTTGTGGCGCACGGGCTTAGTTGCTCGGCAGCATGCGCGATCTTCCCGGACCAGGGATTGAACCCGTGTTCCCTGCAGTGGCAGGCGGATTCTCAACCACTGCGCCACCAGGGAAGCCGCCAAACTTCCCAAGTTTGGGGAAAGATTTGGATATCTGAGATCATGAAGTTTATAGGTGCCCCCAGAATTTCAACCCGAAGTGATCCTCTCCAAAATATATTACAATAAAGTTTAAAAATCAAAGACAAACAGTTTTTAAACGAGCAAGAGGAAAAAAAAACTGTCTCACGTTTCAAAGGAACCCCCCATAAGGCTTTTAGCAGATTTCTCAGCAGAAACCTTGCAGGCCGTAAGAGAATGGGATGATATATTCAAAGTGCTAAAAGAAAAAAACTGCCCACCAAGAATACATTAGTTGGCAAGGTTGTCCATCAGAAATGAAGGGGAGGGAATCCTCTGGGGCTTCAGTGGTTAGGACTCGTGCTTTCACTGCCAGGGGTGTGGGTTCAATCCCTGGTCAGGGAACTTAGGTCCTGCAAGCCGTGCAGCATGGCCAAAAAAA